ACAGACCAGGTCAACAGCACCTACTATTCCCAAACGGTGATTCCAGTGGGTAATGACCCGGTCGACAGCACCTCTTATCTCAAACGGTGATCCCTCAAGGTATTGACCGGGTTGATATCACCTATTATTGCGAAACGGTGATCCTTCTGGGTACTGACCTGGTGGTCATCACCTAATATTCACAAACGGTGATCCCTCTAGTTACTGACCAGGTCGACAGCACCGCCTATTCCCAAACGGTGATCCCACTGGGGAGTGACAACGTCGACAGCACCTACTATTCCCACTTGGTGATCCCACTAGGTACTGACCAGGTAGACAGCACCTACTATTCCCAAACGGTGATCCCACTATGTGGTGACCAGTTCGACAGCACCTCCTATTCCCAAACGGTGATCCCAGTGGGTACTGACCAGGTGGACAGCATCCACTATTCCCAAACGGTGATCCCTCTCGGTACTGACCAGGTAGAGAGCATCTACTATTCCCAAACGGGCATCCCTCTAGGTACTGACCTGGTCGACAGGACCTCTTATCCCAAACGGTGATTCCTCTAGGTACTGACCAGGTCGGCGGCACCTCTTATTCCCAAACGGTGATCCCTCTGGTTACTGACCAGGTCGACAGCACTGATCCCTCAAACCAATAGGTGATCCCTCTACGTACTGAACAGTTTGACATCACCTATTCCCAAACGGAGATACCTCTAGGTATTGACCAGGTTTACCGCACCTCCTATTTCCAAACGGTGATCACACTGGCCATTTTATAAACTTAAATAGTGCCGCATAATGGGCGTTTTTGGAGAATCTAAGGAGAGTAACACTTAGATATAAACAGAGTGAGATAAAAATAATATGACAAATTTTATTACATAAAATTGGTAGTAACTAACCGATGTTGGTGAAATTCTCAAGATATATCTATATAGTAAATAAAACAACGTATTTCTAAGTGAAAATATCTCTTTTAATCACAAATATAGCAAATAAAATGGACTCTGCCCGCCATCCGGATGGGGCAAAAACGCATTCCCATTTGTACGATGAGATGCTCTGTGGCAAAAGACATGAAGGCCGACAAAAGAAACGGTACAAAGACGCAATCAGAACTGACCTTCGCTGGTGCTAGATCAGACAAAAACAGCTAGAGTAGTGTCAGCGTGCAATTTTGGCATTGGTCACAACCTCCGAACTCCAGTGTGCACACAAGAGACTTGGGTTTTGCAGATAGATAAATATAGACTGAGATAGATAGATAGATAGATAGAAAGATAGATAGATAGATAGATAGATATGAACAGACGGAGATAGGCATTGACACATAAATAGACAGATAGATATGAAGCGACTAAGATAGATAGATAGATAGATAGATAGATAGATAGATAGATAGATAGATAGATAGATATGGAAAGCCTGAGACAGTTATTGACAGATAGATAGATAGATAGATAGATAGATAGATAGATAGATAGATAGATAGATAGATAGATAGATAGTTATGGAAAGCCTGAGATAGGTATTGACACAGTTAGAGAGATAGATATGGACAAAGATAGATAGATAGATAGATAGATAGATAGATAGATAGATAGATAGATAGATAGATGCGGAAAGCCTGAGATAGGTATTGACACATAGACAGATAGATATGGACAGACAAAGACAGACAGATAGATAGATAGATAGATAGATAGATAGATAGATAGATAGAAAGAAATGAAGAGACTAACATAGATAATGCCGCAAGCCGTCGTAACACAATTTTATATCGCCACATGTTGAAATTCAGTTTGATCACAAAATCAATAATTACTTGTAAGATATCCACTGACAATTGTACTTTAATTTTCAGTATCTATCGTTTGATATGGTGCGCTGAATGGAGGGAATTAGATATAAGCAGGCGGGAAAACAGGATGGGCAGAAAATCAGCAAATACAGAAAGAACTGGAAAGAAATATATGGAAACATTAAAGAGTAAAAAAAAAAAATATCGGAAAAAAAAAACAGTGCCTTTCCCGGAATGTAAACGTAAAAACTTTGGTCCCGCAGACATTTACGTCTGTAAAATGTTCGGTCAAACTGATGGAGGCTTTTTCAAGGACTAGACATCTTCAAAAAATGATATGTTTAGATTACTGTTTGCAAACTTTAACCAATTACTTCACCTCTCCTCTTTAGCTCTCAATATCGAATAGGTTGAATAATCCGATGAAAGGTCCACCGTCTAACACAACCATCAGCTCCATCCAATGTAGCTCTACATTATTATTATTATTATTATTATTATTATTACTTTTATTTCCTTTGAGATTTATGCATTTCTTTCTGGTTCCGCCCAGGGACCTAAGGTTAGAAATGGCATCATGACACTTTCCACTGACAAAAAAAAAATGTTACGTAAAGACCTTCGTAAAGTGTGGGCTGTAGTTGTCAGAACAATTTTTTGTATCTCTTTGAGGCATGGACTTCCAGGAATCCCTTCAATTAGTCTACTGGAATCTTTTCCAACAAGTCCTAGGGCTCCAACTACAACAAGGATTGTTGATGTTCCCATGTGCCACATTTTTGAGAATTCGATTTCAAGGTCCTTGTATTTTGACAGCTTTTTGAATATCTTCAAAGATACATTGCAGTCAGCAGGGACTGCCATATCAATAAGGAGGCACCGTTTTTGTTTGTGGTTTTTAATAACAATATCTGGGCGGTTGGCTTTGATTGTTCTTTTATTATTATTATTATTGTTATTCGCTCAAGTTGTCTCAGGCATTCACGAGTCTATGGCACTAATCTTCACAGTCCTGCATTAAGGTCGCAAGATCATTAGTAATATTTTTTGGAATGGTTTGGTTAATGGCATATCAACTCCTGATGAGTTATCTAACACTGAAATTTTATTTTTTTGTAAGTTTGGTCATTCCCCCCCCCACCGAAATGTATTGCTGGTAATTTTTCTAGTCTAATTTTATATTTTCATGTTTTGATCCCAGTTTGGGTGTTCACTATTTCCCAAAAGCGCACCCCTCAGAACGTCCCGATTGGAGGCCTTGTGGCCGGATGTTGTTTATTGGCATATCCAGGACGAAAGGTCATCAGGGTGACATTCTGTGTAATGCCTGATCAATGTAGGTGGTTGCTAGGCGACCAACATGTCTTGCTCTACAGCTAGATGTCCAGAGCATTAGGTCACTCGTAAGTTCTTGTTCTGCTCGCTAGCATTTTTCTGCAAAGCGATCATGTGTTAAATTTGTAGAAAGATCATGGATAGGTCTACAGAGCTGTGATTTAGTTGGATGTTAAATATAACACTCAGCACTCGAGTGTAGGTTCCGTCAACTTTAGTCTCTTGGGGAGTGTTTCTCAATCATTTTTTTCACTTCAGGGCCCACTTGTATAATGACTAAAACACTGGGGCGCACTTTCAATTTTAATAAGGTAAAATTGGTCATGAAATTTGAAAATCTTAAAATAATAAAGAAGTCTCCTTAAATAAGTATTTATTTTTAAGACACCGCATTATTTGATGTCTCTAGATTTTAAAAACATAAAGATTTATTAAATATAAAAATAATTCATAAATTACGCTTCTGTCAACTTAGGCTACTCCTGGGTACCCATTGGAGCGCATTAGTGTACCTGGGTGCACCAGTTGAGAAACGCTATTATACGGTTTTAGTTAATGTCCAAGCAGGGCATCATGCAACCATCGATGAAAAGCGCCTATAAGAGTGGCTCAAAAGAAACCCCGCTTCAGTTTATCTGACAGATCAGATTTACAGACTACATTCATTTTATTCAAGGCGGACCAGGTTTTAGCATTACAAATATTCAAGGTCTTTTCAGTAGAATTTATTTCGCTTCTTAGGAACACTTCTGCTCAAAATCTTAAGACAAGATAAAAACGGGTTAAAAAATATATATTTGTAAAACATTTGCATTTAATTAGAAAATAATATTAAGGAGAGGAATAGGAAGAATTAAAAAATTAAATAGGTTGAATAAAATAAATATATTTTAATTGTAAATATTAGACGATTAAAACGTAAAAAGATTAAAAAAACTTTAAAAAATTCCAACTTGCGAGGAAGTTAAAAAAGACAAAAAATCTGACAAACATCCAATATTAATAATGAATATTTAAGTGAGTTTTGTCCTACCAGTTTGCCAACGTTCCATTTAGAAAAAGATGCCTTAAAATTTATAATGACTCATATATATAGTCATTTATAATGACTCATATATATATATATATATATATATATATATATATATATATATATATATATATATATATATATTTCAATGAATCATTCATACATAAAAGTAGATTGTAAAAGTTTACTAATCTACTTTTTGTATGAATGATTCATTGTAATATAAATTGAACTGCACCATATTTGATATATATAAAATATATATATATATATATATATACATTTATATATATATATATATATATATATATATATATATATATATATATGTGTGTGTGTGTGTGTGTGTGTGTGTGTGTGTGTGTGTGTGTGTGTGAAGAAATATAGTTTTAAGGTGTGATATATTTATGGGATAAAGTGCTCAATATCAGAGAGAATTAATTTATATATATATATATATATATATATATATATATATATATATATATATATATATACACGTGTGCGTGTAAACCCTGCGATAGACAAATAGATATGACTATAGAGAAATATAAATATACTGAGATAGATAGATAGATAGATAGATAGATAGATAGATAGATAGATAGATTTATTTAATTACTGCTTCATATCCTGAGGCCAAACGTATGACTATCCAAGTCAATAAGTAGGCCCGAAAGACGGTAGTTTTGTGTTAATCTAAAGCACGGGCTCTGGAGAGACCATTGCGTTGGGCTCAGGTAAACGGCGTCGAATTCTTATTTTTTTTTTTTTTTTACAAGCCTCTCTTGTCTTGTTGCAAGAGTGACATCTGCTTAAGCTAGCAGCACGCTACGCAAGCATGCTGACGCGTTTGTCTCCCAACACAGTATTGCGTTTCGTCTTCCCGTTCCATGGCAGACAAGTTCCTATTCCTATGGTGACAGTTCCGTCGCTCTGTCAGCAACTCAACCCGATACAATTTACCCTAAACACTGTCACATCACCATTGCCAACCGTCATTCACATTCAATTGCATTTACAACCCCCCACCCACCCCTAGTTCTACCGCCACATTTTCCTCTTCCTTTTGGCGATGTAATCTTCATCAGACTCTTGTTCTTTTTGTTTTTCTCACCCGCATGCAGTAGTTTTTTTGTTTTGGTTTTATCGAGTCTCCTTACCTTACACGTATTTCAACACTTTACTGTTGCGTCGCGCCATCTACCGTCATTCGCGCTTATTTCCGTGGTACTCAACTACGGTATTCCTAATTATTTATTATTCACCGCCCCATCTTTGTTCCACGGTATTTCTTGTTTTGTCTTTCCTTCCTTCTTTCCTTCTTTCCAACATGTTTCTTTTTTTATTTGTTTCTTTTTTGTTTTATTCTTTCTTTTCTATTTTTCTTTCTTCCTTCGTTCATTCCTTCATTCTTTTCGTCCTTCTTTCCTTCCTTTCGTCCTTCTTTCCTTCCTGCCAACATTCCCCCCCTTTTATTTCTTTCTTTGTTTTTTTTTCCATTCTATTCTATCCTTCTTTCTTTATTTCTCCCTTCCTTCTTATACTCATTCTTTTCGTACTTCTTTCCTCCCTTCCTTGGTTGCTTCCTTTCTTCATTCTTTTAGTTCTTCTTTCTTTCTTCCTTCATTCCTTCATTCATTCATTCCTTCTTTTCGTACTTCCTTCCGTCTCTCCTTCTTTCATTGCTTCCTTCTTTCCCTCATTCTTACTTTTATTCCTTCATTTATTCATTCTTTTCAGATATTCTTCCTTCCTTCTTTCATTCTTCTCTTACTTCCTTCTTTCCCCGCTTCCATTATTGCCACCCACTTTCTTTCCACTTTTCCTTCCTTCCTACCTTCCTTCCTTCTGTTTATCTTTCTTTCTTTTTTTCTTTCTTTCTTTCTTTCTTTCTTTCTTTCTTTCTTTCTTTCCTCGCTTCCACCATTGCCACCCTCTTTCTTTCTTTCTTTCTTTCTTTCTTTCTTTCTTTCTTTCTTTCTTTCTTCGCTTCCACCATTGCCAACCTCTTTCTTTCTTTTTTTCTTTCTTTCTTCGCTTTCATCATTGCCACCCTCTTTCTTTCTTTCTTTCTTTCTTTCTTTCTTTCTTTCTTTCTTTCTTCGCTTCCATCATTGCCACCCTCTTTTTTCTTTCTTTCTTTCTTTCTTTCTTTCTTTCTTTCTTCATTGCCACCCTCTTTCTTTCTTTCTTTCTTTCTTTCTTTCTTTCTTCCTTCTCGATATTTCTCTTTCTTTACTTTTTCGTCTTCATTGATTACTTGAGGGTCAAATATTCTCGTTTTTGTGGCATTTCTTCCAAACCTGATTCCCTATTTTCTACTCTCTTCTTGATTTCTCTCCCTTCAGTCATGGCAGTCTTCCACATGAAAAAAAAATATCCCTCAGAACGGAGGCGACGATTGCTCTCCACAGCTTCCTTTCTATTTAATATTTACATAACCTAGCATGAAGCCACAGTTATACCATATTCAAACCAGCATGATTATCACGTTTATTGTACTCACAATGTTGTTTCGGTTGATGTACTCTCAGGCCTTCCTAAATTGTGTGCCGCCTTACACGTTAACCTTGAGGTTTCAAAAGGAACTTTTTATCTAATCTACAGAGGGGGAGAGAGAGAGAGAGAAAATGAGAGAAATAGATGGAGAGAAAGAGAAAATCTAGATTTTATCTGTTTGTGCTAATTCCACTACTTTCCATACTTAGGGGAGATAACTCGCATCAGATCTAATTACCTTTGTGTCGCTTTCACTGTTTCCTCATTTGAACAAATATATATCATTTTCAGGGATTGAACTCACAACTGCCAAGGATTATTTATTGGTCAGTGTTCAGTTCTCGGGGAAAAGTAATCTGCGACAAATATTTCCTTTGCAATCCCAGATCGCTTACAGGTTTAAATGCAACGTCAATCGCCATCTTTTGTTTTCATGAATCCGATTCTTTCATTTTTTTTTCTTTCCTATCACTAACGTCTTCTCATCTTTCACTCTTAGTGACATTAGCGTCTTCCTTGGGCTGAAATGATTGGGTCTTTTTTTTTCTTCTTTGTAACACGGTACATTAAAGAAGAAAAAGGAACCGAGTGTCAGGGCAATGGCAGTGAGTGGTTGGTTTTTCCTTGCATCCGAAACAGTTTTGCTCTCAGATTTGTCTTTCTCTCAGACTTCTAAACAAAATAAACCTGCCAAGAATATACAAATGATTTACAAGCAAAATGTACATTCTCCATCAATGATGGAAGAAAACCGTATTTGTTTTTCTCTTTTTCCTGTTCTCCTCATCTCACGCCTCCTCCCTCTCCTGCTATACACACAGGTATATATATATATATATATATATATATATATATATATATATATATATATATATATATATATATATATATATATATATATATATATATATTAAATTAACAGAGAAATCCCAAATTACCACATTTGGGATTTTTCTGTTGTGTAATTTATTTGCTCTGTTATAATAAATATATTGAGCTCTTTTGTGGATCACTTTTAATATTTCATATTATTAGGATCCACTTAGATTATATACCAACGGATTTATTACCTGTACTATATATATATATATATATATATATATATATATATATATATATATATATATATATATGTGTGTGTGTGTGCAAAAATTTCAGATAGAGTATATCTATAAAAGAACAACATGAAAAAGACAAAAGGTGTTTTATCAAGGCAAAATGAAATGAAAGGAATCCACCATACAAATCTTTCTTCTTTTTTTTTTAAATCCAATAAAATTTTTGCACTTTTATATAAATCCTTCTTACAAAATAAAAATCCTTACATTTTGCCTTGATAATATCCCCCAGAGGACGAATCGCGTCGGCAAAGATATGTTTTCTTTTTCTCTTTTTTCATATATATATATATATATATATATATGTATGTGTGTGTGTGTGTGTGTGTGATAGTGTGTGCGTGTGTGTAGTTTCAAAATCAGAAGGTCAATTAAAATACGCGAATATATATATGTGTGTGTCTTATAGTGTGTGTGTGCGCGTGTATGTGTGTGTGTACGTGTGTGTGTGCGTGTTTGTGTGTGTGTAGTCTCAAAATCAGAAGGTCAATTAAAATACGCGAATATATATATATATGTGTGTGTGTTATAGTGTGTGTGTGTGCGCGTGTATGTGTGTGTGTGCTTGAGTGTGTGTACGTGTGTGTGTGCGTGTTTGTGTGTGTGTAGTCTCAAAATCAGAAGATCAATTCAAATACGTGACCATGCTTTCGACCTGACGTTCTCTTCGGGCGATACTTTGAAAATGACCCCTTTAAAGCCTTATTTAAAAAAAAAAACACACACAAAGAACGCTACATAACTATCTTTCAAAAAATAACACGCGTATGATGAATGAAAGACAGAACATTGGGTATAATCGGAAGGGAATATATATATATATATATATATATATGTGAAAAGTGAATATAAATATAAATAAATATATATATATGTATAATTATTTATATATTATATGCGCGGTACTTATTAGAAAGCGCTCAATATCAGAGATAGAGCTAACATATTTGGTTGGATAGATGTGAGTTTGTGACCCTGGGTTTCACGCTTTAGCGTCAGTGTCTGACGATCGCTAAAGCGTGAAACCCAGGGTCACAAACTCACATCTATCCAACCAAATATATATATATATATATATATATATATATATATATATATATAATCTAGACAAGTTTTGTATATCGGGGGCAGAAAGAAATACCGAAAACCCGATTCGCAGGTACTATCTCACAAATCCCAATGCACGTAACCAGTCAGAAAAATAACTCACTCGCCAACGACCGTGGTCGCCAAAATGCCATAGTTTTTATCCTCGATTCGAGAAAATCAACTACTTTTATCGGCCGAGCATTTTTTCTATTCGCCGACAGCTGGCAGAGGACGTTCAATTTTTGCATATCAAAATACTTTTTCAGCGACTCCTGCGACCGACTTGTTTTTTTAATTTAAATATTTCGTCTTCAGCATGTCATGAGGAATATGTACCCTTTTTTTTGGGGGGGGGGTAAGTAATTTTCTTTTTCGACAAATTTTCCATCGTAGGATACACGCGACGCGCTGTCGCTTGTTTTGACGAGGTAAGTCGGCGTTTTCTTCGCTATAAAACCCTTGAAGATCATACTCCATTTCCTAAAGAAAAAAAATCATTGTAATAATTCGGATCAACTCCCCGCTATGGTACCTAGACTTTATGAATTTAAAAGATGAGGGTCTCTGACTGATGTCAAATCGGGCGTGTTTCGATCCTGGTTTGAAGCAATCGCATGTCTCCCCACACTGATGAGCTGCGAAAAAGTCCATCTGTGGATGATTTTATATAATTATATTGTGGCACGGTGGAGTAATGGATAGCGGCTTGGAATGAGGAATCGGAGTGCCGAGTTCGAATTCCAGTCGAATCCATTACTCGCTAATACCCTTAAGAAAGGTATTAATCCTCTTCTTCTCCCCCAGCTATGGGCAAATAGCAGGACAGACCTGGTTCTATAGCATTGAATGGCACCTGATCTGCAGCAGAAAGAAATGTAACCTCCTGCGTGAAAAAAATTGCCTCGTCAGTCATGTATCGAAAGATACATGATCGCCTAAGCGTGTATCACGCATGGGACATAACTAACTGACTAGATTAGTAATAATTTTTCATCATTTTAAAATTGAATTGGCTACATGTAACCGTAAGTTCTATGCTAACAGTTTCTTCTCTCGCACTCTGGGAAGCATAAAGTGGAACTCTCTTCCACTTTATGCTTCCCAGCCAACTTTGATTCAAATGCAATGTCAATCGTTATCTTTTGTCTTCTTGATTCATCTTCTTTTATTGTTCTCGCTATTTAATTATGTTTTTTCTTTTTCTTTTTTTTTTTTACTTTTTAACACTCACTAATCCCTTGTGTCTTAGTGACTTTATTGCCTTGCTTGGGGTGAAATGATTCAAAAGAAGAAGGAAAAAAAAAGATAATTTCTCGGATGAGGAGTTTTCATTATTTACATGTGGACTATTATCGTCCTTACGTAAATAGTGTCAAATATTCAACTGTAGCACTTAGGTCTTTTAGATAAATAATATGTCACGGAACTATCACTTTGCCATTTAATATTAATGAGTAAGTTCTATGTTAAGAGTTTCATCACTCGTACTTCTCGCTTGTCGAACTCTCTTCTGTCTTCTTGCTTTCAATTCTACTTTGATCTTGTGGTGAACAGTCACGTAGAAGCAAGCGAGCCAGAGTCGCTTGCTTCTGGTGTAAAGGGAAATAAGTGTCTTACCTCAACTTTCGGCAAGTGGCAACGGCATTTTGTTCCTTGAAAATGACATTAATCTCCAGTCGGACTGTTCCAACAGTATGTGCTGTAACGGTTATTTTTTTGTACCGTTTGGCATGGTTCGACCAATAACAAGTCGTGTGCTGATTGGTCGGACTGGAGAAGACTATTTGCCTGGGTAACTGAGAACAAAAGCAAAAAATAAAACGCTGATTGGTTGGTCGGCCATGGTGTTGGCCTGATAAAAGAGAGCTGAAGCCGTGAGAAGACAAAACAGTTTTATGTCGGTGAAGTGTGTGAGATCGGCTGATTGAACAAGTGGTACTTTGAATCGTAAGAACGACGTCCGAGGTATAGAGACCCATTTAACTACAGAGCTTTAAAAATTTATATGCAATACCAATCGTTATCTACTGTCTTCTTGATTCCTTCTCTTTTATAATAATAATTATAAATGCTGACAGGAAATGAAGGAATCGGAAGAGAGTTTAACAGGCAAACGATGAGACCTAGTTGCCAATCTAGTACTGCGTTGAACTTCATGTAGTACAAACAACAAAGAGTGGTGTTTATTAGTACAACTGCCATAAAAAAAATATTTATAGAAAAGACAGAGGGAGATCACGTTAATTGAAACAACCGCTTTAGTATTTTCTTTCACCATACAGTCAGTTTTTGATCCTCTGGTGTGACAGTATGTAATTGATTTCTATTTTTCATCAGATTAGATCATTTGCAGTAATGGGCAGTAATATGAATCTATTTTTAGGGTGTATGATGAAATTTGTTTGGCCTTGAAAAATATTGCGTCATCTGTGATTGCATCAGATTTTTATCATCCCCAGACACTATTGTCTCGAATGTCGATTAGTTGTCCTACGGCCATTGTCTGTGATGGACGTTACTCCAAGCAAGCCTTACCAGTGAGCAAATCAA